CCCGGGGGTCTCACCCACCCCTGGGGGTCTCACCCACACCCGGGGGGTCTCACCTGCCCTAGGAGGGTCTCACCCGCCCCCGGGGGTCTCACCCACCCCCGGGGGTCTCACCCACACCCAGGGGTCTCACCCGCCCCCGGGGGTCTCACCCACCCCCGGGGGTCTCACCCACACCCAGGGTCTCACCTGCCCCTGGAGGGTCTCACCCACCCCCGGGGGTCTCACCTGCCCTCGGGGGTCTCACCCACCCCCGGGGGTCTCACCCACACCCGGGGGTCTCACCTGCCCCCGGAGGGTCTCACCCACCCCCGGAGGGTCTCACCTGCCCCCGGGGGGTCTCACCTGCATCCCGATGATGGCGTAGATGAAGAAGAGCATGGCGATCAGCAGGCACACGTAGGGCAGGGCCTGGGGGGGCACAGCGGGCCGGTCACGGAGGGGCGCGGGTGGCCCTCAGGGGGTCACAGGGGGCGGTTTTCGGGGGGTCTCGGGGGGCACCTTGAAGGACTGGACGAAGGTCCAGAGCAGGATGCGGATGGTGTAGCCCTGGCGCAGGAGCTTGATGAGGCGCGCGGCGCGGAACAGCCGCAGGAAGCTCAGGTTGATGAAGTTGTTCTGGCGGGGCGGAGGGGATAAAAAAACAAAAAAAAAAGGGGGTGAGGGGGGCAAAGGGGACCCCAAAAACGGGGGCAGGGCAGGGGCGCCCACCTACCCCGAATTCCGTCACCAGGATGTCGGTGATGCTGCCCAGCACCGTCACGAAGTCGAAGACGTTCCAGGCGTCGCGGAAGTAATTCTGGGAACGGGGTGGGGGGGGATGTGGGGTCACCGAGCTCGGGGTACCCCTGGGCTGGCCCCAGAAATCTCGGGGTGACCCCGTGGTCCCAGGATCTGCCTGGTGGCAGATCGGGGGTGTTCATCCCATGAGGTCCTTGGGGTCCCCTGAGGTTTTGGGGTTCCCAACATTCCTGGGATCTCCTGAGGTCCCTGGGGTTTCCTGAGTTTTAGGGTTTCTTGAGGTCTTGGGGTCCCCTGAAGTTTTGGGATCCCCTGAGGTTTTGGGGTCTTCTGGAGTCTCCTGAGGTCCCTGGGGTCTCTTGAGGTTTTGGGGTCTCCTGAGGTCTTGGGATCCCCTGAAGTTTTGGGATCCCCTGAGGTCTTGGGGTCTTCTGGGGTCTCCTGAGGTCTTCAGGATCCCCTGAGGTTTTGGGGTCCCTAAGATCTTGGGGTCTCCTGAGGTTTTGGGATCCCCAACATTCTTGGGGTCCCCTGAGGTTCCTGGGGCCCCCTGAGGTTTTGGGGTCCCTAAGATCTTGGGGTCTCCTGAGGTTTGGGGTCCCCGACATTCCTCGGGTCATGTGAAGTTTTGGGATCCCCTGAGGTTTTGGGGTCTCCTGAGGTTTTGGGTTCTCCTGAGGTCTTGGGATCCCCTGAGGTTTTGGGGTCTTCTGGGGTTTTGGGGACCCCAGCATTCCTGGGCTCTCCTGATGTCTTGTCACCCCCCGTGTCCGCAGGATCCCCAGGGTGGCCCGGGTCTCACCTGCCCCCGGGGGGTCTCACCTGCATCCCGATGATGGCGTAGATGAAGAAGAGCATGGCGATCAGCAGGCACACGTAGGGCAGGGCCTGGGGGGGCACAGCGGGCCGGTCACGGAGGGGCGCGGGTGGCCCTCAGGGGGTCACAGGGGGCGGTTTTCGGGGGGTCTCGGGGGGCACCTTGAAGGACTGGACGAAGGTCCAGAGCAGGATGCGGATGGTGTAGCCCTGGCGCAGGAGCTTGATGAGGCGCGCGGCGCGGAACAGCCGCAGGAAGCTCAGGTTGATGAAGTTGTTCTGGCGGGGCGGAGGGGATAAAAAAACAAAAAAAAAAGGGGGTGAGGGGGGCAAAGGGGACCCCAAAAACGGGGGCAGGGCAGGGGCGCCCACCTACCCCGAATTCCGTCACCAGGATGTCGGTGATGCTGCCCAGCACCGTCACGAAGTCGAAGACGTTCCAGGCGTCGCGGAAGTAATTCTGGGAACGGGGTGGGGGGGGATGTGGGGTCACCGAGCTCGGGGTACCCCTGGGCTGGCCCCAGAAATCTCGGGGTGACCCCGTGGTCCCAGGATCTGCCTGGTGGCAGATCGGGGGTGTTCATCCCATGAGGTCCTCGGGGTCCCCTGAGGTTTTGGGGTTCCCAACATTCCTGCGATCTCCTGAGGTCCCTGGGGTTTCCTGAGTTTTAGGGTTTCTTGAGGTCTTGGGGTCCCCTGAAGTTTTGGGATCCCCTGAGGTTTTGGGGTCTTCTGGAGTCTCCTGAGGTCCCTGGGGTCTCTTGAGGTTTTGGGGTCTCCTGAGGTTTTGGGGTCTCCTGAGGTCTTGGGATCCCCTGAAGTTTTGGGATCCCCTGAGGTCTTGGGGTCTTCTGGGGTTTCCTGAGGTCTTCAGGATCCCCTGAGGTTTTGGGGTCCCTAAGATCTTGGGGTCTCCTGAGGTTTGGGGTCCCCGACATTCCTCGGGTCCTCTGAGGTTTTGGGATCCCCTGAGGTTTTGGGGTCTTCTGGGGTTTTGGGGACCCCAGCATTCCTGGGCTCTCCTGATGTCTTGTCACCCCCCATGTCCGCAGGATCCCCAGGGTGGCCCGGGGGTCCCCCCAACCCCGGGGTCCCCCCATACCAGGACCCCGAAGGCCATGATCTTGAGGAGACACTCGAGGGAGAAGAGGGAGGTGAAGACGTTGTTGAACATCTTGAGGACGTTCTCGTAGGTGTCGGAGGCGTCGTAGAACTGCGGGGACAGCGCGGGACGGGGGGGACACGGGGACATTGCGGGGTGGGGCTGGGTCCGGGGGCGCAGGGACAGGGACAGGGGCTTTTCCTGGATCCCAGGGGGGCTCCTGGGGGGGACAGGGACAGGGGGGACAGAGCTGCAGGACAAAGCTGAGCTCCAGGAACGGGTCCAGAGATGGCACACTGTGGGGTTGGGGTGGGTCAGGGGACAGGGACAGGTCCTGGGGGGACAGGGGCATTTCCTGGATCCCAGGGGGGCTTCTGGGGGGACAGGGACAACCCCTGAGGGGGACAGGGACAGGTTCTGGGAGGACAGGGACAGATCCTGGGGGGACAGAGCTGCAGGACAAAGCAGGGCTCCAGGAACAGGTCCAGGACACAGAGGGGACAGAGCAGGACGAACCCCAGCACCGGGAGGATTTGGGGGGCTTGGGGGGGCGACCAAAGATAATTCCTGGGGGGACAGGGGCGTTTCCTGGATCCCAGGGGGGCTTCTGGGGGGACAGGGACATGTCCTGGGGACACAGAGCTGCAGGACAAAGCTGGGCTCCAGGAACGGGGTCCAGGACACAGAGGGGACAGCGCAGGATGAACCCCAGCACCGGGAGGATTTGGGGGGCTCGGGGGGGGCTGCCAACAAGCCCCGGGGGTCCCCGCGGCCCCCCCAGCCCACCTTCATCATGAGCACGATGGTGTTGAGGGCGATCATGGCCATGATGGTGTACTCGAAGGGAGGGGACACCACGAACTGCCACATGCGGTACTGGAAGCTCTGGCGGTTCTGGGGCATGTGCCGCGTCAGCGGCTTGGCGCTGATGGCAAAGTCGATGCAGGCTCTCTGCGGGGGGGCACGGGGGCGTCACCCACCCAAGGGGTCACTGTCCCCCCCCGCCGTGCCCCCCACGGCCCCCCACCTCGTTCTTCTCCAGGCTGTACTCCTCCATCATCTTGTCCCCCTGCTCCTGGAAGGTGATGATGATGAGGGCCACGAAGATGTTGACGAAGAAGAAGGGGAAGACCACGAAGTAGACGACGTAGAAGATGGACATCTCCATGCGGTAGCCGGGGCTGGGCCCTTGGTTCTCGTACGTGGCGTCCACCGAGTGCTTCAGCACCCTGAGGGGGCAGGCATTTGGGGCTGGGGTCCCGCTGCCCCCTCTCAGAGCCCTGGGTACCCGGGTGGCACCAGGTGACGCTGGGGTGGCGCTGGGATCACACCAGGGGACATGATGGGGTTACACCAGGTGACACAAGGGTGACACTGGGATCACACCAGGTGACACTGGGGTTGGATTTGGGTCTGGGGGTCCTGCTGCCCCCCCCCCAGAGCCCTGAGTACCTGGGTGGCACCAGGTGACACTGGGGTGGTGCTGGGATCACACCAGGTGACACTGGGGTGGCACTGGGATTAAACGGGGTTGGATTTGGGTCTGGGGGTCCCGCTGCCCCCCCCCCCAGAGCCCTGAGTACCTGGGTGGCACCAGGTGACACTGGGGTGGTGCTGGGAACACGCCAGGTGACACTGGGGTGGCACTGGGATTAAACGGGGTTGGATTTGGGTCTGGGGGTCCTGCTGCCCCCCCCCCAAAGCCCCGAGTACCTGGGTGGCACCAGGTGACACTGGGGTGGTGCTGGGAACACGCCAGGTGACACTGGGGTGGCACTGGGATTAAACGGGGTTGGATTTGGGTCTGGGGGTCCTGCTGCCCCCCCCCCAAAGCCCCGAGTACCTGGGTGGCACCAGGTGACACTGGGGTGGTGCTGGGAACACGCCAGGTGACACTGGGGTGGCACTGGGATTAAACGGGGTTGGATTTGGGTCTGGGGGTCCTGCTGCCCCCCCCCCAAAGCCCCGAGTACCTGGGTGGCACCAGGTGACACTGGGGTGGTGCTGGGAACACGCCAGGTGACACTGGGGTGGCACTGGGATTAAACGGGGTTGGATTTGGGTCTGGGGGTCCTGCTGCCCCCCCCCCAAAGCCCCGAGTACCTGGGTGGCACCAGGTGACACTGGGGTGGTGCTGGGAACACGCCAGGTGACACTGGGGTGGCACTGGGATTAAACGGGGTTGGATTTGGGTCTGGGGGTCCTGCTGCCCCCCCCCCAAAGCCCCGAGTACCTGGGTGGCACCAGGTGACACTGGGGTGGTGCTGGGAACACGCCAGGTGACACTGGGGTGGCACTGGGATTAAACGGGGTTGGATTTGGGTCTGGGGGTCCTGCTGCCCCCCCCCCAAAGCCCCGAGTACCTGGGTGGCACCAGGTGACACTGGGGTGGTGCTGGGAACACGCCAGGTGACACTGGGGTGGCACTGGGATTAAACGGGGTTGGATTTGGGTCTGGGGGTCCTGCTGCCCCCCCCCCAAAGCCCCGAGTACCTGGGTGGCACCAGGTGACACTGGGGTGGTGCTGGGAACACGCCAGGTGACACTGGGGTGGCACTGGGATTAAACGGGGTTGGATTTGGGTCTGGGGGTCCTGCTGCCCCCCCCCCAAAGCCCCGAGTACCTGGGTGGCACCAGGTGACACTGGGGTGGTGCTGGGAACACGCCAGGTGACACTGGGGTGGCACTGGGATTAAACGGGGTTGGATTTGGGTCTGGGGGTCCTGCTGCCCCCCCCCCAAAGCCCCGAGTACCTGGGTGGCACCAGGTGACACTGGGGTGGTGCTGGGAACACGCCAGGTGACACTGGGGTGGCACTGGGATTAAACGGGGTTGGATTTGGGTCTGGGGGTCCTGCTGCCCCCCCCCCAAAGCCCCGAGTACCTGGGTGGCACCAGGTGACACTGGGGTGGTGCTGGGAACACGCCAGGTGACACTGGGGTGGCACTGGGATTAAACGGGGTTGGATTTGGGTCTGGGGGTCCTGCTGCCCCCCCCCCAAAGCCCCGAGTACCTGGGTGGCACCAGGTGACACTGGGGTGGTGCTGGGAACACGCCAGGTGACACTGGGGTGGCACTGGGATTAAACGGGGTTGGATTTGGGTCTGGGGGTCCTGCTGCCCCCCCCCCAAAGCCCCGAGTACCTGGGTGGCACCAGGTGACACTGGGGTGGTGCTGGGAACACGCCAGGTGACACTGGGGTGGCACTGGGATTAAACGGGGTTGGATTTGGGTCTGGGGGTCCTGCTGCCCCCCCCCCAAAGCCCCGAGTACCTGGGTGGCACCAGGTGACACTGGGGTGGTGCTGGGAACACGCCAGGTGACACTGGGGTGGCACTGGGATTAAACGGGGTTGGATTTGGGTCTGGGGGTCCTGCTGCCCCCCCCCCAAAGCCCCGAGTACCTGGGTGGCACCAGGTGACACTGGGGTGGTGCTGGGAACACGCCAGGTGACACTGGGGTGGCACTGGGATTAAACGGGGTTGGATTTGGGTCTGGGGGTCCCGCTGCCCCCCCCGCATCCCCCATCCCCAAGCCCCCTCCTCACTGCGGCCAGCCCTCTCCGGTGGAGACGGTGAAGAGCGTCAGCAGCGCCCAGAGCACGTTGTCGTAGTGGAACTCATACTTCTTCCACTCGCGCTTCTGCGCCTTCACCTCGTTGTCCTTCTCGTAGACCAGGTACTCGCCCCTGCCCGGGGAGGGGCGCGGGTGGGCGCGGGCCGGGGGCCGGGGGCCGCGCAGCCCCTCCGGCCTGGCCCTACCTGCAGTCCTTCTCGAACTCCTTGGACTCGTCGGTGCAGTAGAAGAACTTGCCCTTGAAGAGCTGCACGGCCACCACGGCGAAGATGAACATGAAGAGCATGTAGACGATGAGGATGTTGAGCACGTTCTTGAGAGAGTTCACCACGCAGTCGAACACGGCCTGCGGCGCAGCGGGGGGGGTTGTATTATAGATTGGGTTGTGTTGTGTTGTGTTGTGTTGTACGACCCCCGGACCCCCCCCCGAGAGAGGGGGGGACCCTCGGGGCAGCCCCTCCTCCGGGGGTCTGCTCCGGGGTTACTCCCGGGTTACTCAGGGGCTGCTGGGGCTCCTGGGGGACGCTCAGCACGGCCTTGGAGGCGGCTCGGCTACTCGGGGGATGCTCAGAGGATGCTCAGACTTTACTCAGGGGATGCTCAAACTTTACTCAGGGGATGCTCAAACTTTACTCAGGGGATGCTCAGTTACTCAGGGGATGTTCAAACTTTGCTCGGAGGATGCTCAGACTTTACTTGGAGGATGCTCAGACTTTACTCAGGGGATGCTCAGACTTTAGGGCTGCTTAGTTGCTCAGGGGATGCTCAGGCCAGCCTTGGAGGTAGCTCAGTTACTCGGGGGATGCTCAGACTTTACTCAGAGGATGCTCAGTGTTTGCTTTAGGGCTGCTCAGACTCAGGGGATGCTCAGACTTTACTCGGAGGATGCTCAGACTTTACTCAGAGGATGCTCAGACTTTACTCGGAGGATGCTCAGACTTTACATGGGGGATGCTCAGACTTTAGGGCTGCTTAGTTACTCAGGGGATGCTCAGGCCAGCCTTAGAGGAGGCTCAATTACTCAGGGGATGCTCAGACTTCACTCAGAGGATGCTCCATCTTTACTCAGGGGATGTTCAAACTTTGCTCGGAGGATGCTCAGACTTTACTCAGAGGATGCTCAGACTTTACTCGGAGGATGCTCAGACTTTACATGGGGGATGCTCAGACTTTAGGGCTGCTTAGTTACTCAGGGGATGCTCAGGCCAGCCTTAGAGGAGGCTCAATTACTCAGGGGATGCTCAGACTTCACTCAGAGGATGCTCCATCTTTACTCAGGGGATGTTCAAACTTTGCTCGGAGGATGCTCAGACTTTACTCAGAGGATGCTCAGACTTTACTCGGAGGATGCTCAGACTTTACATGGGGGATGCTCAGACTTTAGGGCTGCTTAGTTACTCAGGGGATGCTCAGGCCAGCCTTAGAGGAGGCTCAATTACTCAGGGGATGCTCAGACTTCACTCAGAGGATGCTCCATCTTTACTCAGGGGATGTTCAAACTTTGCTCGGAGGATGCTCAGACTTTACTCAGAGGATGCTCAGACTTTACTCGGAGGATGCTCAGACTTTACATGGGGGATGCTCAGACTTTAGGGCTGCTTAGTTACTCAGGGGATGCTCAGGCCAGCCTTAGAGGAGGCTCAATTACTCAGGGGATGCTCAGACTTCACTCAGAGGATGCTCCATCTTTACTCAGGGGATGTTCAAACTTTGCTCGGAGGATGCTCAGACTTTACTCAGAGGATGCTCAGACTTTACTCAGAGGATGCTCAGACTTTACTCAGAGGATGCTCAGACTTTACTCAGAGGATGCTCAAACTTTACTCAGGGGATGCTCAGACTTTACTTGGGGAATGCTCAGACTTTACTCGGGGGATGCTCAGAGGATGCTCAGACTTTACTCAGAGGATGCTCAAACTTTACTCAGGGGATGCTCAGACTTTACTTGGGGAATGCTCAGACTTTACTCGGGGGATGCTCAGAGGATGCTCAGACTTTACTCAGAGGATGCTCAAACTTTACTTGGGGAATGCTCAGACTTTACTCGGGGGATGCTCAGAGGATGCTCAGACTTTACTCAGAGGATGCTCAAACTTTACTCAGAGGATGCTCAAACTTTACTTGGGGAATGCTCAGACTTTACTCGGGAGATGCTCAGAGTTTACTCGGGGGATGCTCAGACTTTACTCAGGGGATGCTCAGAATTTACTCGGGGGATGCTCAGAATTTACTCAGGGGATGCTCAAACTTTACTCAGAGGATGCTCAGCCTTTACTCAGGGGATGCTCAGACTTTACTCGGAGGATGCTCAGACTTTACATGGGGGATGCTCAGACTTTAGGGCTGCTTAGTTACTCAGGGGATGCTCAGGCCAGCCTTAGAGGAGGCTCAATTACTCAGGGGATGCTCAGACTTCACTCAGAGGATGCTCCATCTTTACTCAGGGGATGTTCAAACTTTGCTCGGAGGATGCTCAGACTTTACTCAGAGGATGCTCAGACTTTACTCGGAGGATGCTCAGACTTTACATGGGGGATGCTCAGACTTTAGGGCTGCTTAGTTACTCAGGGGATGCTCAGGCCAGCCTTAGAGGAGGCTCAATTACTCAGGGGATGCTCAGACTTCACTCAGAGGATGCTCCATCTTTACTCAGGGGATGTTCAAACTTTGCTCGGAGGATGCTCAGACTTTACTCAGGGGATGCTCAGACTTTAGGGCTGCTTAGTTGCTCAGGGGATGCTCAGGCCAGCCTTGGAGGTAGCTCAGTTACTCGGGGGATGCTCAGACTTTACTCAGAGGATGCTCAGTGTTTGCTTTAGGGCTGCTCAGACTCAGGGGATGCTCAGACTTTACTCAGGGGGTGCCCACCAGATTTACTCAGGGCATTCTCCCCCTTTACTCAGAGGATTCTCAGCCTTTCCTCAGGGGATCCTCCCCCTTTACTCAGAGGCTCCTCCCCCTTTACTCAGAGGATCCTCCCCCTTTACTCAGGGGATCCTCCCCCTTTACTCAGAGGCTCCCCCCCCTTTCCTCAGAGGCTCCTCCCCTTTACTCAGAGGATCCTCCCCCTTTACTCAGAGGCTCCTCCCCTTTACTCAGAGGATCCTCCCCCTTTACTCAGAGGATCCTCCCCCTTTACTCAGAGGATCCTCCCTCAAACTTTGCTCGGAGGATGCTCAGACTTTACTCAGAGGATGCTCAGACTTTACTCGGAGGATGCTCAGACTTTACATGGGGGATGCTCAGACTTTAGGGCTGCTTAGTTACTCAGGGGATGCTCAGGCCAGCCTTAGAGGAGGCTCAATTACTCAGGGGATGCTCAGACTTCACTCAGAGGATGCTCCATCTTTACTCAGGGGATGTTCAAACTTTGCTCGGAGGATGCTCAGACTTTACTCAGAGGATGCTCAGACTTTACTCGGAGGATGCTCAGACTTTACATGGGGGATGCTCAGACTTTAGGGCTGCTTAGTTACTCAGGGGATGCTCAGGCCAGCCTTAGAGGAGGCTCAATTACTCAGGGGATGCTCAGACTTCACTCAGAGGATGCTCCATCTTTACTCAGGGGATGTTCAAACTTTGCTCGGAGGATGCTCAGACTTTACTCAGAGGATGCTCAGACTTTACTCGGAGGATGCTCAGACTTTACATGGGGGATGCTCAGACTTTAGGGCTGCTTAGTTACTCAGGGGATGCTCAGGCCAGCCTTAGAGGAGGCTCAATTACTCAGGGGATGCTCAGACTTCACTCAGAGGATGCTCCATCTTTACTCAGGGGATGTTCAAACTTTGCTCGGAGGATGCTCAGAATTTACTCGGGGGATGCTCAAACTTTACTCGGAGGATGCTCAGCCTTTACTCAGGGGATGCTCAGACTTTACTCGGAGGATGCTCAGCCTTTACTCAGAGGATGCTCAGACTTTACTCGGAGGATGCTCAGACTTTACTCGGGGGATGCTCAGACTTTAGAGCTGCTTAGTTACTCAGGGGATTAGGGCTGCTTAGTTGCTCAGGGGATGCTCAGGCCCAGCCTTGGAGGAGGCTCAGTTACTCGGGGGATGCTCAGACTTTACTCAGAGGATGCTCAGTGTTTGCTTTAGGGCTGCTCAGACTCAGGGGATGCTCAGACTTTACTCAGGGGGTGCCCACCACAGGGGATGCTCAGGCCAGCCTTGGAGGTAGCTCAGTTACTCGGGGGATGCTCAGACTTTACTCAGAGGATGCTCAGTGTTTGCTTTAGGGCTGCTCAGACTCAGGGGATGCTCAGACTTTACTCAGGGGGTGCCCACCAGATTTACTCAGGGCATTCTCCCCCTTTACTCAGAGGATTCTCAGCCTTTCCTCAGGGGATCCTCCCCCTTTACTCAGAGGCTCCTCCCCCTTTACTCAGAGGATCCTCCCCCGTTACTCCCCCTTTACTCAGAGGATCCTCCCCCTTTACTCAGAGGATCCTCCCCCTTTACTCGGGGCTCTCCCCACGGACGGGCACAGGACGGACACACGGACGCGGTGACAGACGGCAAAGCGACAACAGCGAGCGGGACAGAGCCCGGGGCACTGGGGGAACTGGGAGGGAACTGGGGGGTACTGGGATGGACTGGGGGGCACTGGGGAGGCACTGGGGGGCACTGGGGGGCACCGGTGGCACTCACGTGAAGGCGAAGGCCACCAGGGCCCCGCTGACCACGATGAAATCCAGAATGTTCCACAGGTCCCGGAAGTAGGAGCCCTGGTGCAGCACCAGCCCCAGATCCACCATCTGGGGGGGGATAAAGCGGGAGGTCGCGGGGGTCCTGGGGGGGTCCCCCAGCCCCGCAGACCCTCCCCCGCTCACCTTGATCACCATCTCGAAGGTGAAGACCCCCGTGAAGACGTAATCGAAGTAACGCAGCACCTGGGGGGAGGGGGGCAAGGTTGGGGTACCCCGCAGCCTGAGACCCCCCCCAGAACCCCAAAACCTCCCTGAGACCCCCCAGAATCTCAGGACCCCCCAGAGACCCCCCCAAATCCCAGGATTTCTCCGAGACCCCCCCAGAACCTCGGGACCCCCCAGAGGGCAGAAAGTGGGGGGGCAGAAATTGGGGGGGTCGAGAGCAAAATTTGGGGAGGGGTCTCACGTTGTTGTGGGGCACGTAGGGCAGGATTTGGGGAAGGGTCTGACCCAGTTTGGGGAGGGGTCTCAGGCAGGATTTGGGGAGGGGTCTCAGTCAGGATTTGGGGAGGGGTCTCACGTTGTTGCGGGGCACATAGGGCAGGATTTGGGGAGAGATCTGACCCAATTTGGGGAGGGGTCTCACGTTGTTGCGGGGCACATAGGGCAGGATTTGGGGAGAGATCTGACCCAATTTGGGGAGGGGTCTCACGTTGTTGCGGGGCACATAGGGCAGGATTTGGGGAGAGATCTGACCCAATTTGGGGAGGGGTCTCACGTTGTTGCGGGGCACATAGGGCAGGATTTGGGGAGAGATCTGACCCAATTTGGGGAGGGGTCTCACGTTGTTGCGGGGCACATAGGGCAGGATTTGGGGAGAGATCTGACCCAATTTGGGGAGGGGTCTCACGTTGTTGCGGGGGGCGTTGGGCTGCACCGGGTCCTCGGCCGCCAGCGCGATGCTGCTCATGGCGATCACCATGAGGATGCACATCTCGAAATAGCGCAGGTTCACGATGTAGTGACACAGCCGCCGGAACCTGGGGGGCGGGGAGGGGCTGAGACCCCCGGGACCCCCCCCCGGGACCCCTCGGGACCC